TTAATTCGTTGCTTTATCTCTCGAATTTCTCAAATACCCCCCTTTCCGTGTTTTCAGTTCACTACTTTTTAACGTCTTTTTCAGATCTTTTTGTTTTAACGTGACTACTATGCAAAACTTACGCCGTTGCACCTGCAGTCGTTGTAAAACGGGTGTTAATGGGTTTAAATTAGTCAACCGAAAGACTCTTGTTAATCATGAAGAAGCCGATGAGAGAGCATCCTTCTTAATGGAACGCATGCAACGTAAGACATGACTAGGATCTACTTAAACACTTACTGATCTTTATTTTTTCACGTTATTAGAAATCAACGAGAGTAATTGCAGCCTTTTTTTTTTATGAATAATAGAGCGATCTTATTTACAAATTATTATTTTTATTAGACGCTGCTACAGAAACAGCTGATGTACCTGAACATGCTGGAAACAATGCTAACGAGGAAAGTGACGATGAAGATGTACTCGACGAAATTTTTGATGAGGAGGAGGAGGATGAAGAAGAAGCTCCTGCAGAAGGTAACCTCAGCAGTACGAGTAGTAATTTAATAACTAACCTTTTATAAAAAGATCCCTTTTCTCGTTTTGGCAACAATGAGTATCTTCCCACCGAGCCTTTAGCATTCGTTTTGTTTTTGACCTTGTTTTTGCTTAACGGTAAGCACTTGACTGAAGAAGCTTGCGAGATCTTGATGATCATGTTCAACATTGCTTTGGAGATCACCCACCACCGCTACCGCTTTCCCGTACGCGCTGAGACATTTGTTGCCTGGTGTCAACTCGCATCAAGAGTACATCATGGTATGAAGGAATACGTCAGTTGTACCATTTGCCATGCTGTTCACCCATTCGAAACTGCCTGTGAGAAAATTGCTTTGCTTGGAAAGACCTGTTCATCAGTAGAGCCTTTTCCTCGATCCACTCGATGCGGTAACGATCTCTTTTTGGCCAATACAAAAAACGAGTTGAAGCCCAAGAGATCATTCTTCTACAATTCGATTATCACCACTTTAAAGACTTTTTTTTTGCGTGAGGATTTTGTGGATGATGTCAAGCATTGGCAATAAAGAGAGGTTATTCCTGGTGTCATGTCCGACGTGTATGACGGAAGTATTTGGAGAGAGTTTAAGATGGATCCTGCGGATGAAGTACCTTATGTTCAACAATCCGACTTCAACTTGATGTTGACGATCAACGTGGACTGGTTCCAGTTGTGGTGGAATTTATCTTACAATTCAAAATTTGCCAAGAGATGTAAGAAACTTGAGAAAGAAAGTGTTGCTTTGTGCTTTGTTACCTGGTCCTGGAGAACCCAAGACGTTCCAAATGAATCACTATTTGCGTCTTCTAGTGGATGAGTTACTATTATTGGCAGATGTTGTACAAATTCAAACCAGACATCATGGAATTGTTACCGTCAAAGCGGCCCTTACAATGGTAGCCTGTGATTTGCCCGCTGCAAGAAAGGTAATTGGAATGACATCACACAACTCCATCAATGCGTGTAATCAATGCACGCACTTGTTCAAGTCAATTCCTGGACATCCTCACCAGAGAAATTTTGCTGCTGCCCCCAGAGATGGTACTTTGGTTATTCGTGATGCTGGTAGTCATCGTGTAAATGCCGAGATTTGGAAAAATACCCCAACGGCTAGTGGTCGCACCGAGTTGGAGCAAAAAAATGGTGTCCGATACAGTGAGTTGCTTCGCCTGTCGTACTTTGATCCCATTGAATTTGTTGTGTTCGATATCTGCCACAACACTTTCATGGGTACGGCTAAACGAATGATGCGTGTGATCTGGAGAGAAGAGATCAACATTGTCAATGATAGAACGGAGCCATTGATCACCAAGGCACATTTGAAAGAAATGTCAAAAGCCTGTTTGGAGAAACTTGTGTTGCCTTTTGGCTATGACGGCCAATCACTTTGTAGAAAGATGAAGATCGGTGAAGTTGGCTTTGGGCATGTAAAAAGCGATGAGTTTAAAGCTTGGGTTTTGGCCATGTCTCCGTATTTGCTGTCAATGAGACTACCTAAACAGTATTATGACAACTGGATGGATTTCGTTGCTGCCAATGTGTATCTGTCGAGTCCGATGATTTCTTTGGAGGAGGTTGAGAAGATGCATGTATATGATGAAATTTTTGGATGATTTTGTCAAAACGTACAATGATCCAACCTTGTTTGTTTCAAACATGCACTACCATTCGCATCTGAAGATGGTGCTCAAGAAATGGGGTCCAGGTCCTTCCTCGTGGATCTTTAACTTTGAACGGTATAACTGTGATGTCAAGTCGTTCAAGACTAATAGAAAAGGACCGGTCGAGAAGACGTATATGAAGAATTTTCTTCACGGTATTCATTCTGAAGATTACTTTAGAGGTTTGAACTCTTCTTTTGTGTTGGGACCTCGACACAATGCACAGGTGACAAGATTGTTTGCTGGTGGTAATATCTATCGGTACGACAAGGTAAACGATGAGCTTGAGGGGGAATATCAAAAATCCAAGATTGATTTTTCTCTTTCTCAATTCTTGGAAATTAACCGCGGGCATAAACTGGCATATGGCTATGAGGAGATGCCACAAAGCGTTTTTTCAAAGATGAAGATCAAGTGTACGACGAATATGGACTCTGTAATGTTTGGTCATCTGTTGAGCTACTACGTGGATCTGTATTACTGTATGTGTGGTTTGATCCCTTTGCTGCCCACAGTAGAATCAACAAGTTTGTCACCTTGGATTTGTTTGGGGCTGTGTTCAAGTCAATGAATCAGCTTGTGCCAATGCACGTGGATCTTACATCTGTGCGTTTTATCGTCTGACAGATCACGAGGATATAGTCAGGGAAGAGGAGACTAGTGGTGAGCGTACGGCACGCCACTATAAGTCTATTTCAGATTCTGGCGTGCTCAGACCTGCTCAAGTGGTCATGTTCTTTCGCCATTCCGTAGATGTAATGCAGAGTACTAGGACAATAGCCAGTGGAACACACACTTTTGCCTTTGTTAGGTACAGTATAAACGTGAAACCATTTCTTCTTCACGCGTCTAACTTTTTTCTTTTAAGGTGGTTCAAGGAATCAGCGGTGCAGTTGGGTTCTTATAACCATCACAACATGCATGTTGTTGCCAATGAGTTTGAAGAGATGTCACGCATGTCCATATTGCCTGTTCATCTTATTCATTCACCCATTGTAGTCAAGATTAGTCACCTCGACAACATCAATGTAGTAACGAACATGGCTCAGAGGTTATTTTTTTAAATGGTAAAACGTTCTTTTTTTTTTCTCTCAGTATTATCTGGTTTTTTTTTATGGTTTTTAGGATCTATTTTTATTCAGATGAAATGGCCCATCTGGGCAAGCGTGCACGCTGTACTGTAGTCAAGGGAGACTCGACTACTCTTGAGGTACGAGGTAATGAAATACCTCGAGATGGACCGGCAGGAGCATCCAAAAAGGCATAAACCTCTTCCAACTATTGGAATAAATGTTGTAAGTAAATTAGCATTGGCTTTGATGTTTAATTTATTAACTTGCCTTGGTAGATCTCCAAGAGGGACAGAGCTTTACCAACGACGTGGCCAATCCGTGCGCATTAACGGCGTCGTTTTCCTCCTCTGACATATATTCCGGATGCACCACAGCGTGACAATCGCCAGACGAGATATGGAGGTGGTCCTCAATCATATGTTGAAAACGTTCAAAGTTTCTTAAACGTCTTCTCATTTTCTAAATCGAAGGTACAGTTTAATATTTTGTGTGTTTTTGATTCTTATACTATACTTACAGTGGCCATTCTTGACCCCATGTTAGAAACAACAGCAGATTGTTGTACTTCTGCTGCTGTTTGAGTCTCATTGCGACGGACTCGTCTTCTCACATTCTCTTGGTGCGTTCTGATACGCCTGGCCAGAACAGAGGCTTGATCCTCTCCAAGCTGGTGAGTATCCGGAAGACCATACGTGCGGATTTCTTCCAGACGAAATTGGTTCAAGATATGGTTGTAAATATCGATATTTGTTCCCTCCAACAAAGTTGAATTAACATCCCAAGCAGGAAGATTTAATTCCCTACATGCACGCCTGTAGAAAGCTCGAATCAGGGCCTACAGATGGTAATATTGAAATGATGTACTGATATTTCTTTAATAGATAGATAGGTATAATTCTTACACTCTGTTGAGGATCAGTTCCTATTCTTTCACCACCAACACGTCGATTTCCTCGTTCATATGCATCCATACGACTCTCGAGCACAGCAATGCGTTGGTTATCACCAGTACGTCTTCTAGGAGGGGCAACAAAGGCAGGTGCTGCAGGTTGAGCGGATTGCACCACGGGGGTACCGTTTGCGCTGTAAGTAATGTTATTTGTTGTGTTACTTGCCATATTATTTGGTAAAGAAGCGTAAAGAACAATATTATTACTGTTTGGATCTACGCTTATAATTAGACCCTTTTTTGCACACAATAAACTTGACACAGTAAAAAAAAAATTTAATCCCTTCATCTTTCTTTTTTTTTATTCCATCTCTTTCTTTCACTTTCTTTTTCTTTTCCTTTTTTTGTAAAAAAAAAAAAAAAAAAAAAAAAAAAAAAAAAAAAAAAAAAAAAAAAGTTTTTTTCTGTAAGTAATATTCTTTTATTTTATAAGAGTTAACATGTCAGCTAACATTACTCTTGTATAGTGTTCAATTAAAAGAGGTAACCAGCCCAGGCCTACATATGTCCCTATAGTAAGAACCTTAAAAAATGCCACGCCTCTCATTCGAAACTAATCGTCCTCCTGCCTTTTTTTTTAGGGCGTTTTTTCATACGAAAATGCCCTATTGCTTTTGTTTCTTCGCGTCCCGTTTTATTAATAGCAGTCACAAAAAAAACTGAAATACGGGTAACTACACTATAAAATCCTGTTTTTGAATTTGTCCTTCGTGTCCCGTGTCCCGTTTTATTATTTTTTTGAATTTTTTGAATTTTTAAGAAGTAGTTGTACCGGAGAAATGGGCAGACCCAAACTAAGCATCGAAGAAAAAAGAGAGCGAGAGAGACTACGCAAAGCTAAACAAAGACTGAATCCCGAAACAAGACAAAGGGAAAATCAGAAGAGACGAGAAAGATACAATAGTGTAATGTCTTATAAGAATTCAATATAAACTAAAACTGACGCGCAAATATAGAGAACACCAACACCTGCTCCGTCACTGGTAGAGAATGGTGATCCCGGTCCAAGTACATCGTCTAATGTAAGATTGAATCTAAATGTAAAGCATCTGCACTTGCTTAAAAACTTTACGTGTCTTAGGTTCGACAAGGAACTGCAGCTGAAACTCTTAGGAAGAGAAACTACAGGTCGATTGACAGTTTTAGAGAAAACGAAAATGAGGCACGTCGAAAACGTTACAGAGACCAGGTACAGCAGAGCAGATATCGATTTGTTTGGTCCTGATTTCTCTAAAGTTTTTTAAAATAATAGGTTAATAGCAGACAATCTATTATCGACAATTATAATACAGTTATAAAGCAAGGTCCAACTGAGATATGTTCCTGTTGTGGAGGTACCTGGTTTCCAGTCCAGATTAATCGTGTCCAAAGATCTATCCTAATTGCCAAAGGATTGACAGTAGATTTTTTAGCAAGGTGTTCAAGTCTGGACATAGACAGTGATATTTTAAAATTATGCGCTACTTGTCATTGGCACATCAGAAAAGGCAAAGTACCAAAATTGTCAATTTCCAATGGATTTCGTTACGCAGATATTCCGGAATGTATTCAAAAATTAAATCGTATTGAGGAAAGACTGTTGTCTGTGAGACATCCATTTCAACAAATTTGGACAGTTGCTGGGGCAAATGGTCAATTTCGTCACAAAGGAGCTGTAAACAATATACCTGTTGATTTTGATACCACGGTGACGCAATTACCCAGATGTTTATCAGATACAAATATTATTCCTGTGCAGTTGGCAAAAAAGATGTCATCCGTTAAAAATTATATGGAGGGGAATGTGGACATTGAGAATGTATGGCAAGCAGCCATGTTTTTAAAGAATAGTACGTGCTACAAAGAACATGGTGTTACTTTAGATGAGCAGTGGTGTGCCAGAATTGCGGAACACGTACGCTCCAACCCTTACGTACCACCTAATAGTTGTGGAGAGGGGGTTGTTGATGAGGACATACCCGTAGGGACAGAAGAGACTCTATTTTCAGGAGCTGATGGTGTTAGGATGGCTCCAGGAGAGGGATCCACTCCTTTATCACTTTTGACTGATTCAGATAGCGAATTTTTATCATTTCCAAAGATATTTTGTGGCGAACCTATGAGACCAATCCTTGATGGAAAACCAATTTCATACGGAAACATTATCAAATCATTGATTCGACATCATGATAGAAGAGCTGTTCGAACAGATTTACTTTTTTACATGGACACAAAAAGGTTATTAAAACGCCTAGTATCAAAAATGACAGTTGTAATGCGTCAATCCAAAGATAGGCCGAATTTGACAACCAGTGATGTGTTGAATGATGAGAGATTGAACGAATATATTAACAATGATGAAGCATTTAAAATATTTAATTCTGTTCGCAGCTCACCAGCATACTGGAAGGTTGAAAAAAGTAACGTTATGGCAATGATTAGACAAATGGGTACTCCAACGTTTTTCATTACATTGTCTGCGGCTGAGACAAAATGGCCTGAGTTAATAGTTATTTTGAAAAAAACTTGTTGATGGTGTTACTATAAACGAAAACGATGCATTGAATTTGACTTCATCCGAAATTGCTAGATTGATTCAATCTGACGCACCTACTTGTTCCCGGTACTTTGATAGACGCTTTAGGCAATTAAAATCAACGTGGAAGCCACCATATGGTCCATTTGGAAGCATGGAACTTATTGATTACTGCTATCGTATTGAGTTCCAAGCTCGTGGAAGTCCTCACGTTCACATGCTTGCATGGATTAAGGATGCCCCAATTTATACACCAGAACCGGATAACGAATTCGATGTTTGCCAGTTTATCGATACAATTATATCATGTAAAATATACGACCCCGAAGAAGATGCATTGATGGAAGAACTTGTTCGTAATCGTCAAACACATAGACATACACATACTTGCTGCAAAAAAAGAATCGTAATCCAAATGATCGTACCTGTCGTTTCGGTATTCCTTTTTTCCCTATGGATAAAACAAGAGTATTACATCCTTTTTCGTCAGATGATGATGTTATGGAAGAAGAGCGTGAAGCGCGAAAGAAATATAGCACAGCAAAAAAAAATATGGCTTTTTTCTGTAAAAATTATGTCCTTGAGAACATAAATTTATGTTCAGAAATATGGTAAAAAGTGTCAATTTTGATGTCTTTTTATTACCATTATTTTACCATATTTTTTACAATATAGTTATGTATACGTAAGTTCCATGTAAATTATGATACTTTTATGTCCTATATTTATGTAATATTTTTTGGATTTATTTTATGGTATCGCTATTTCCCCTCCTCCCATCGCCCCTCCCATTTATTCACATTTTTTTTTTCATTTTATAAACCAAAAATGCTCCAGCTAATGAAGGACCAGTCTTTTTATTAGAAAAATTCTTACATGCATCTGCTTAATTCTGCTGTAAAAATAAAAAAAATAGTAAGCAATGACAGTTATAAAAAAACATCAATATAAGCATACCTCTTCTTCTAAACTTGGAACATTCGGAGGAGTGGTATTGTTATCATCAGCACTATTATTATTATTTTTGTTGTTGCGTCTGAACTTGCTTGATTTTGAGCTCCAGTGCTGTTGACAAATGAATCTTACAGGCCATAAGCGTTGACAGCTTTTCAGAAAGTTTAACTCTGCATTTGTCTCGACGATAATGCCAGTGGTTTTTGCTATTAAAGAATCTTTTATGTTTACGTTCAATTCCCCCCAGTTAGTATTTGGATATTTAGCCTTGATACTCGTAATGTTTTGGCGACATTCTTTTAAAATAAAATGGTATACAGCTTCGTCATCAGTTACATACTTTTTTATCAATTGTCTTATTGCCTCCCTTTTGTTCAACTCGGATGGCTCAGGTATACGTACAAATCCTGCACAATTGTCATCGCTACTGTTCGATGTTCTGTTTATACACTCGGAAAGACTTGCGTTCAAAATATCATTTGCGCCAGCCAATGAGTCCACCTTTGCTTCAAGTGCCTCCACTTTGATTTTTAGCTCTCGGTTTAGTTGTAAAACTTGGCTATTCTGTTCTTTTAAGTTAGTTATAAGGTTAACAAGTTCGTCGTGTTTAGTCATTTCTGTTAAAGGTTTTAAAAAAACAAAAAGTTAAAACAAGGTGTGTGAACAAAATTTATTCCTGATCTGCAAGATGTCAAGTCACATCTATAAATTCTATTCTGCAGCACCAAGCTGCTTATTACGCTTTTCTCCAAAAATGAAATATTGTGAAAATTGCAAAATTACAATCAAAGGGAAAAGAGCCTATGAAGCTCATATAAAAGAAGATGATTCCAAAAGAAGAAGAAGGATTATCCTGGGTGAAGACAATAAGGTTAAAAATAATTATAATCTAATCCAGAATTTATTGATCTGACAGTGCTGACATACACGTAAGATGTTAAAGAAGACACTGCATGCCACTTTGACAACCATATAGAGGATAATGTGTATATTAATCAGACCGATTCTATAGTATGTGGTTCACATGATAACTCAAACGATAACACAAGTGACACCTTCGATGAATATAATCCAAATTATGATGGGAGTAACAACAATATGAGCATTAAAAGTATAAACCATGGGCCATACAAAAAGATAATCAATATACTAATAAGTATTAAAGTGGATGATACCACGAATAATACAGATGAAACCAACAGCTCTGTCCATGATATACATAACCATTTAAATAACGAAATGAGTCGGAACGAGATTAATATCATTGGCGACAGCTTACTTGAGACAAACGAAAATGTTGATAATACTATCTGGGATATGCCAGCTACTGACAACTTCTATTATACTGTCTCCCATTCGGGAAATTTGAATGAAGGTAATATCTTCGTGACTTATGCTTTTTTTAGACTATTGATACCATTAGTTTGTAGACGATGTAATTAGTAAAGATGACGAAAATATGAACTACGAAGATGATATTTCGGGTTTCCTTGATAACGATGTATACGATAAATATTTCGCATTGTTTACTAGATACAAATCTCGTATTGCTGAATGTTTCAAAATAAATTTAAATGACAAAAATCAAGAAGAGCTCACTGTGCTGGAAAATAAGGACCTTCAAATAAAACAACAACTGGCAACCTCAAACATAAGCAATGCTGATGAAGAAATTTTGCGCACGTTAATGAACGAGTATATAACATTGCTTAGTCCTGGTAAGTTTTTTTTGTAAGGCCAAGCATATTGTAAATTTATGACTTCCCACTAATGCAACGTAGATAACAGATTGCTTATGTCTAAATACCAAGGTAAAAAGTTGATCAAGCAGCTTTGTCCCATAGTTCCAATGGGGTATAGAACATGTGAAAACGGTTGCACCTTTTTTACAGATGGGATCGATTCTTGTAAAAACACAAAATGCAGGGTTCATCATGAAGGTAAAACAATAATGTTTCCATTACACCAACAGATTGCGATGCTTTTCAAGTGCAATGAACGTAGAAGACAATTATTATACCGTACAAATCGCGCTGAATCACACGAGGAGTTGCAAGATATATTTGATGGAAATGCTTACAAAAGTCTGAAAACAAGTCTCTTTCAAAATCCGTATGACATAGCTATTGGTCTATGCGTGGATGGGTTTGCACCCTTTAAACGAAATGGAAGGTCAATGACTTTAATAATGGCAGTTATTTATAACTTTCCACCAGAGATAAGGTATTACTAGCCCGGTATAGTTATCCGCTATAATTATTGAAAGACTGATATGTGCACATTTAGATATAAAAAAGAAAATCTATTGATCTTGGGTGTGACTCCTGGACCAAAAAAGGCGGATATATTCAGCTATCTGACTCCTTTAATTAAGGAACTGTTAGTTTTAGAATCTAAGGGAATGATAATTATCAATGAAAATACCAGTTACAAGATTAACGTTCACGTTTTAAATTGTATTGGAGACATTCCGGGTCAGGCCGAATTATGCTTAAGCTCATCCCATACTAGCAAATATGGCTGTAGAATATGCCCTATGGAAGGGGTCAGTCACCAAAAAGACTCAGAAGACCAGAGCACTATGAAAAAAGTAGGAATGTTCTTTCCCCCGCCTCAAAATATGTCTGAAATGCCACCGCTAAGAACCATCGAGGAATACAAACTGGCTAACAATGTAAGATATACTTGGTTATTGCATTAATAAGTGACTTAATATTTGTGAAAATTATATTTAGCGTGAGGGACTCAAAAATCCGTCGCCATTTACCATTCTTAAGTCATTCCATGGGCCAATGTTTTACAGTATAGACGAGCTACATCTTTTTGGTCATAATATTGCCAGGCAAATATGGCAAGTAATTGAAAATAACAACTATAAATACGGGAGGAAAAATATCTTGTTCTTGCAGAAGCGATTTAGAGTTGAATTAGGCTCGCATATGGCAAAGCTACAGATCTCTGAGTCAAAAATGCTGACAGGCAAATTTATCGGTAAGCGAACATGGCATATTTATAAGTAAGTATAAATAATAATTAATGATATTGTGTAGATATATCTTGTAAATCTGGATATAGCAGAGGTGTCGACTGGATACAATTTCTATTATATGTTGTGCCTACCATCTTGCCAGAAATGTATGAAAAGCAACGCCCTGGTACACGTTTCAATGAAGAGAACTTAAGTATAAAAAAAGCGTTAAGTAGAATATCAAGAGCTTGCTTTTTATGCTTAAAAAAATCGATCTCACATCTAGACGTTGAAGAGATAGAAAAGTACGTGTACATATCTTTAGCCTTTAATACATATACAGTACTAAATATTTATCAAGTTGTATTATTGAATGGCAATACTTTTTAAAAGTTAATTTCTCTCAAAACATCAATGTTTTTACTATCAATCAACATTATCTAAATCATGTCGCTGATACGATTAGAGAGTTAGGGCCCATGCGTTATACCAGCGCGAGGTGTTTAGAAAGGAGCATTGGAATGATAAAGAGTTCAATCAGATCATCATCGAAGCCGTCTGAATGCATCAATAACTTTGTGGCTGAGGACATACAGGCGAAATATACTAAAACAGCTAACATTCAACTGGAAGATAAATTTGAATCCGGATCATGCTACTTAAAACAGAAGACCTGCAATCTAAAAGATATTATTGGGAACAACGCGTATAAAAAAAGAGCTGCTTTTGAGTATTACGGCCAAGATTTTGATATGAATATGCTGGTTACTTTGTTTGGAGGATACAAACGATTACAAGATTCTCGACAATTAGGGATAAATATAAATCAATCGGGTAGTTCAAGAATAGTTACTTTCGATGGGGCCACTGAAAAAAAAGTTGGTGTGGTGTACAGCATTTGGAGATCTAACGAGACAACGATATTCCTTGTTAGAGAGATCCCTTTTACAACTGATTCACATAATCACATAAAAATATGTCGAACTTTGGACACTACCGAGAGGCTAATAGATCAGGTTGCGTACAATTATCGAATCATTCCCGAAAAAGAAGTATCTTGTTCTGTAATTTTAATCCAAAGCCTACTCAAATATGATCAATCGTTTATTCTTGATGCCCTTCACTAGTTTTGTATAATTCGTCGAATATACAGTATGCCTTAACTATGATTAACCTGTTGTAATACATATAGCACAGTACCTTGCAAAAGTTAAAGCCTTTAGTAGATTTCCATATTTTTGGCTCTAATTATCATTTGAACAATATATACCATCAATATTTTTTTTTATACAGCCTCAAAAAAAACATATAAGTAAAGAACGTATGAGAGACATATATTTTGTGTCCTTTTGAAAGCGATCATAATATTACTATTACTTTTATGTCCCTGGTCATCAAATTCTCATATCACACATGTTCTTTTTGCGGCCGACATAGAATTTCTATTTTATTAAATTATTTTTTGTGCTCCTCCATAAAAGAGACTTATTTTTTATGTCGCTTGACAAAAATGACATCAAAAAGACATCAAAATACCATTATACGACATATCGGACATAATTTTTTTTGCTGTGTAGAGAGCTTGGGAAAGTTATAAAGTCTCACCTTGAGGATAATAGCGAAATGTTAAAATCATCTGATATGACGTTTGACGATTTTCTTGATATATTTGGATGTAATGTGGACGAATACATTTACGGGGTTCAGTCTACGTTGAAACATAGCAAAATATTCCTTAAAAGATCTGTCAAAGAAATTTACATCAACAACTACAATCCAATGATTCTCAAAATGCATAGAGCAAACATGGACATTCAATATGTAGTAGATCCATACGCGTGCTGTGTATATGTTGTTGATTACATCAATAAGTCTGATAAGGGTATGACCAGAATTCTAGAAAACATTTTACAAGAGTCCGTAAATGAAGGTGCACCCACAAATTCTATTTTACGAAATCTGTCATCAAAATTCTACAACACTAACGAAGTATCTGCTCAAGAGGCCTCGTACAATCTTTTACAACTCAGGATGAGCGAGTCGACTGTTAAAACTATATTTATTCCAACTGGACCTCAAGAAAAGAGAACAAGAATAATTAAATCAGCGGCTGAACTCAAGAAATTGAATGCTACATCTACTGATATTTATGAAAATGGGTGGATTGAACATTATCAAAATAGGCCGGATGATTTGGCTGAATTAAACTTAGCTCAATTCTGCGCTTGGTACGAATTTTCCAGAAAACGCTCAAGTAAAAAAAAATCAGCTGAGGAAGACCAAGACGATCAAGAAAACATAAATGATGATGCCGATCCTACCGAAAGTGAAGATATTATACAGGGCACAACAAATGATCAATCTACATGGCTAACTTTATCCAAAGATACTGGTTTCGTAAAAAGACGAAAGAAGTGCAAAATTATAAAGTACCACAGACCACGATGTGACAAGAACCCAAAGGACTACTTTTATCATATGATGATGCTATATTATCCATGGTCTGATCAAAAACGTGATTTGGATGAAATCGATTGTGAGGGCAAATTTAAAGACAATGCAGTGTACATTCAAGAAAGAGTTCAAGAATTTTCAAAATTAGCCGATGATATTCTTTCTCAATTTATGGATAGAGCGGACAGCGCCAACAATGAGTCCGAACCGGAATTAGATGGTAATGCTGAAGAAGACGAAGAGCCCATTGATGGTAACAATATCAATGATTTTACCATGTATGCTTTGAATGAAGATGCCACATCACAACGTGATCCTGCCCCAAGTAGTTCATCTAGTAGCAATGCAACATCTTTGGCTGAGGGTTATGCAAGGCCGGACAAGCTTAGTGACACTGATTTGCATAATCTGATATCGAAACTAAATGCGGAGCAGCGCCAATGTTTAAATCATGTTATACATCATGTAAGACATGAAAATCCGAATAACATCAATCCGCTTCGTTTATTTGTAACAGGTGGTGCTGGTACTGGCAAGAGTATGCTTATCAAAGTTCTATACCAAGCACTTATACGCCATTATGACATTAGACATGAAAGAGACTTACAAAAAAGTTCAGTTGTGCTATGTGCTTTTACAGGAAAAGCTGCATTTAATATAAACGGTCAAACTATACACTCACTTTTTCACTTTCCCGTAAATCAGGACGACTTACCCGAGTTGTCTGCAAGCGTGTCCAACACAATATCAGTTGAATTATCAGAGTTAAAAGTAATCATTTTAGATGAAATAAGCATGATAAGCTCTCGTCAGCTATTGTGGATTGACAAACGTTTACGCGATATATTCGATAGCAATCTGTCGTTTGGTGGAAAGCATGTTTTAGTCTTTGGCGATTTTTTACAACTACCTCCCGTACACGATTACGCAATTTATAGTGGATTTCCAAGGAATACAATGAAACACCTACGAGTCACTGAACTATGGCATGCTTTTAAAGTACATCGCTTGACACAGATAATGCGCCAAAAAGATGATGAAAAATTTGCTATAGCTTTAAATAACATGGCCAGTGGAACTATGACTGATGAAGACGTAGCACTGTTTAACTCTAGAACGTTTGAAACAGTTCCGGAAGAGGCAAGAACTGGAAAAAATATCATTCGTTTATACCCAACAAATGACTTGGTAGATCAATGCAATAGCGAAATTATAAATACAATGAATACTGAACGTTTCTTGTCAAGAGCTCATGACACTATTGTTGGGCAAGGTGGTAATGCAAATGCTAAGAAAAGTCTACTAGACTACGCTGCTAGCAATAATATCCATTACAACAAAACTTGCGGTTTATTATATGATCTTCAATTACAAATAGACGCACGTTATATGATAACCAGTAATATAGACACCTCGGATGGATTGGTGAACGGAACTACCGGTTATTTAAAAATGGTAGAGCTAGGTCATCTAAAATCAGGCTCCCAATCTAGACCAGATACTGCACGCGAAAAACCTATGCGAATATGGCTGCAAATGGAAGAGGAATCTTCAGGAAAAAAAAAGAGAGCTAAATACCAAAGTTTAATCGCCCAGAAAGGTTACCCAACAACATGGACTCCCTTTGAACCAGTTGAAAACAAATTTAAAAGAGGAAGGAGTTCATTACAAATATCAAGATCTCAATTTCCCGTAGTAATAGCTGAGGCTTTAACCATCCATAAACGTCAAGGCGCAACTTACGAAAGGGTGTTAATAGATTTGACAAAAGGCAGACCTCCAAACCGCTCATCTTTATATGTTGCCTGTTCTCGAGCTACTAAAGCATCGGGATTATTCATCATAAAAAAGGGGCACATTAAACCTACTTCACCTCCAAAAGAAAACGAGCCTATAAGTGTAGAATTACAGAGACTGAAAGACGTGCCGTTGGTTCCACAGTTTCAACATTTGGAAGAATCAAGCAAACATTACATCCAACTGTTATCTCACAATGTCCAAAGCTTAAATGCACATTACGATCAAATTGTTAACGATCAGGCTTATTTAAACTCCGATATACTGCTGTTCAACGAAACTTGGCTTACAGAAAACAACACTATTGAGATTCCAGGATTTACAAAAGTGGCAAACGTTCATGTTAGAGGTCAGCGTCCAAAACCTTATGGTTCAGCTTGCTATCTCAAAAATGAATGGAATTCAGCGTCGCTTTCGGTAGAGATGTTGTGGCAAGACTCAAATGGAGGATCGATCTCTGTTTCAGGCTTCTATATCGGTGACTTTTTGGTTCTTTCAACCTATGTATCCCCTTCATGTGATTTTAAAGCAGCAATTGACCAACTAAGAACATGCCTTAGCGGAAATAATTACGAAAGAATTGTAGTAGCGGGAGACTTTAACGTAAACTGGAATGTTGATTCTGAAAAAAAAAGAATACTAGAAAACTTCCTCCAAGAATACGGTCTAAAATCTGATTTATTTGCCTCAGTTTCCTCGACCAATAACAGCGGTACATTAATAGACTATATATTCCATAACTTTGATATTGTAAACGGTGGAAAGTATATATCACACACCTCTTATCATGATCCGTTGTTTATAAAGTTCAATTTGCAATAAAAATAAAATTATTATGTCAGGTGATCAGTGTCCCAGTCACATTAAAAAACGCCCGGCCTTGGAAGACCTTCAGGTCTGCGCTCGGCTGATGTTTTCTATGACAGGTCTTGTTTCCTCTACATTGGCATAACGGATTGTCTCCTTTCTCTTGGCCTTAATCCCCTTCGTTGGCTCTCTCTTAACAAAATAACAGGCTTTTTTTGGGCCATCACTCGGGCATCTTTTTTTTTTTAAAAAAAAAACAATGGTAGGATAAGCACCCCTTCTGAAACGTGTCGAAGACTGACAATCATCTTTCATAGATGCCTACAATACTCTGGTTACTACTGGCTTTTTGGCACGTCTGGTTTACGTACGGTTGCCTAATGCACCACGACAAGAAGAGGTAACGTCAACATGAGAATGGGTAAAAATAAAAACCTAATTATGAACACAGGTTTCAGGCTGCCAAGACTTTATCTATAATGATTCCAACAATGCTCTTCCTTTTGCAACTTGATATCGGTAAATTATATATACCATGCTTTTTGACTATCATATTAATTGTTTGTTATTAGATTCCTACTTTTTACTGGTGCCATCTTAATCTTCGCCTACTTAATGACCGTAAAACTACTTCTTATGACTCCTTTTTGACTTTCTTCAGGGTAAGATTTACACCATACTATCTCGCTCAGCTAACTTATTGTCTTAAAAATAGATTTCCAAGCTATGCCCCAACTTCAAGCCCCCTTTTGCATTCTGCTCAAATATCATCGTTTTCAAAAACTATATACGCACTGGCTGACAAGAATAGTAAACGTACGCTCGCCTTAGGACTCCTCGTTTTTCAGTCGTCTTGCTGATTCTCTGTCTCGCTGTCTCACTGTCTCGCTGTCTCGCTGTCCCACTGCGCCAATAGCTCTCTTTAGTAAACATAACTACGAAACGCTGCTTTCTACTTGTTTATTGTATTTGACGTGAACCCCATGGTTATAAAACGATATACTCTTTTACTTCCCCTGATGACTATAGGACCCCAAACAAGTACACGGTAAGGTAAGTTTTATAATTTGGAATGTGTAAATAGATCTAGTGTGTATACGTATTTTTTTTTCAAAATAAAAAGTTTTTCATCCCATAAATCCTATTATTAAGCCCATTTGAATACATCTTTTTCTACAATTTAATCCAATGATCGTAAAGCATATCTGAATAGATGCTATAATTAATCCAGTAATAAAAAGGAATTCATCATCATCTTGATTATTAAAGCCAATGATGTACGATCATATATAAGATATGACGAATATCAAGCCAGTAATACCAAAGCTATATTATGAATCCTCAAAGAAGCAGCCAGTATCATGTCCCCATCTATAAAATTTAGTCCAATGAAACCATGCTATATATCCAGGTATTAAGATAATTAATCCATAAGGACGGTACAGTCTTTAAGATAATTAATGCTAAAGGATGGTACAGTCTTTAAGATAATTAATGCAAAAGGATGGTACAGTCTTTAAGGTAATTAATGCAAAAGGATGGTACAGGTATTACCATAATTAACCAGTCATAACCGGAGTTCCAGGTATCTGTATATTTAACGGAGTCCGGGTATGACCCATCAATTTGAATATTTAACCAGTCATAACTGGTCATAACTGTATGTAAAAAAGTACGGGTGGTGGCTTAGCAAAGCATTAGAACCATTTACAATTATGGGCTTGACAAATTTGTCAGCATTCATCCAGCCAATGAAATAGTTCCGGTCCAAGAATCCGGTACCGAGAATTACTATGACATAATAGAGCTCACGCGACCCAAAATAAGATTCAAACCAAAATCAAATAAGACAAGACCACTTAAGAAAACAAAGCTATATGTCATAAGACCAACAAGACAAAGTTATAAACTACTTTAGTTTATAAAACAATTACGTATATATGAAATAACAACCAAACTAAATAGTATAAATATCCCCATCATATTTTAAATAAAAACAGTATCTTTTATCTCATACTTTATTTTGTACTTGTACTTTAAAGAGTACTACTTCTGGCCAATAAGAATAGGTTCACGTGATTATCACGTGTTGTAATATTACGTAAGGATTAACTGGACATCTGAGGTTTACAAACTTGTCAGTCCCTGGAATGCTGTTGCCGGAATGGCAGTTACTAATGGGGGACTGAAGATCTTAAAAGGCAAATAAAAGTTATTTTATTCAAAACTGATTTACGACTATATTTATAAAACTATTTCTTAGGCTTCTTGGTTCGGCCCGGATTGATGGGTTTGAATTCTGGCTTAACATGTTTACGTGGAGGTCTGTTTGCAGGCCTGACAAACTGTTGATAAGGATCTGACTGTCTTTTATGTTTACCTTGTGTAGAGTACGAGAATAAACAATATATAAAATGATGGTTCAAGGAGACTGTAAAGACTTGATATCAGATTATACAAACAGAGAGAAGAGATTAAAATGCACTAGTAAGCAATGGAAAGCTGCCAAAGAAGTTATGTATCAAAAATAATAGAATATAAAAAATATAAACTAGGAAAAAGATAACGTTTATTCACTGTCAATAAAATAAGCTTTTATAGCTGTCAAAAAAAAATATACACAAAGATATAAATACAAGATCAGATCGACCATTGTCAAACAAATAAATCATAAGTTAAAAATACGGATAAAATAAATGAAAGTATAAAAATAAAATAAGGGAATGAAAATAAATCAGATGTCAAAAATTCAAATAATAACATCCAAGAAATATTCAATACGACAATAACTCCTCTTCTAACTGCGACAACTAGCAAAAACCGATTCTCTGGATTTATCAAAAATAGAAGATGGATTTCTCAAACTTGACGTGACTTCTAGAAAATTCATTCGGACTTTTAACACCAGATCTTCCCAGCGCAACAACAACAAGAAAAACAATTTATTCCTTAGACACCACTGAACTTCTTCCTCGCTCATTTCGACATTAACCTTCATAACACCTTCCAAAATCTTCAACCACCTTTCTCCTACTTCTTTACAATATATACGGCGGTACGCTTGTAGTAAGGGGCTTTTTAGCCAATAATATTGCCAGAACCGCTGTAAACCGAAAAGGAAACTCGACATACTTACACCGCACGCAGTTTAAAATATACCACCTGCAGCACCCTGAAATGCTTTTTTTTTTTAACTTTCAAATTCTTTTGTAAACAAATAAACCTATTTTGACAGCTTAAATACGCAAAAATAAAAGCTACACATTTTTCTCTGTCTCTTCTTTTATTTATACTTTTCGAAAAAAAATTAAAATGTTCGGCGGTAGTCCCTCTAACCAAAATGATGGCGCTTCCAAGAAAAAACCTGGACCTAGACCAGGTTCAAAAAGAGATCTTCATGCATTACGACCAGGACCTAAGCGTTTGATGGATCATCCAGGTCTAACTCAGCAAAGACTTGACAAAATGGCCATTTTTAATACAGGAGCTGCTACCTCTTCGCGTATGCAAGAAGATCGAGAGGCCTATGCTTCTACCAGTGACAATGTTGTGAGTGTCAGCAATAGCAATTTGACTGAAAGTATTGCAGCTGCTAGTGACCATAATGGGGTAACGCATACATTTTTTCCTTGCAATTCAAAACATTAACATTATACTTACAGAACGGGAATATCTTGCCTAACACCGTAACTGATCAAAATATGGAAGAAGATGTCGGCACTTTGGTAAGCTACTTACATAAATATAATCATAAACACTTACGAATCTACTAAATCCTTAGAATGAAGAAATTTTGGATGTTGTTGCAGTGCAAGATGATAATATTGAGGGCACTGAAAGTGATGCGGAAGAAGAAATTCAGACAGCACCCAACAGCGTTAGTGATCATTATGTGGATGATTCTATTGAAAATGAGTACACTGCTGAAGATTTTGAGATTGTAGATGAAGAGGCTGGTGGGAGTACTTTAGAAAATAGCCACATCGAGAAATATCTCACCAGTATTCAGAACAGGCTTAAAGGTGGTGTTACACCACCAGAGTACCAACGAAAAACGTACTGGGTGGATGTTGAGTATGAAGGATTTGATTATGATACTCGAACAAAACCAGATTTGTTCTATCGACCAAGAGTTTTCATTTGGCTCCCTGATCTTTTAACCGGCAAAAAACCCAACGGTTTGAGCAAAGTCCACTTGAAATGCCCTGAATGTAGAGCCGCTAATTTGGAAAGAAAGGAATTTGTGAAAAAAACAAAAGCCAGAAGAATTATAGATCAATTTGAGTAAGTGTATTTTCATATTGTCGCATACATTAAAGAACACAATTGCTCAAATATTATTGTACAGTTGTTTCTATTTGATGAGCATGAATTACCGATGTGTTCGGGCAGGATGCAAAAAAACATTCAGCGGGTATGATCAAGGTATCATCAAACAGCTCAATGTTGGTCATCAAAGAGCATTCCCAGCTATTCTGACTCACAAATCTGGGATTTCAAAGGAGCTTTCAAACACAATGCGACCTCTCTTTCAACACGGCATTGGTCCACATAGACTAAGCAAAATTATTCGTATCATGCACACTCAACGATTTGACGAGCTGCAATTTGTGTACTACAGTGGTATCAGCAATTTTAAACCAAACGTGGCATCACAGCTTTTAAATGGAAATGGTCCTCAGCAATTCGAACAATTCTCTGATTTTTTTGATAAGATGAAATATAACGGCTATATTCCTTCTTCCAATTACTTGAGTTACGTGTATAGCTCGTTGGTTGCTGAGTACCGCTTATTTACTGATCAGCATACAGCGCAACTCGGTGGCATTTTTCTTAAATTGGATCACAGTTTTAAATGAATACGGTGAAATTCGAATGCAGCTTCTTGTACCTTCAAAAAGCCATAGCTGTCTTCGTCCTTCGTTTGATAACATGATGGATAGCTATCGGAAGTACAATTGGGATATGCCTCAAGTTGCTTATACTGATAATGTTACTGGGGATAGAAATTTTTT